CATATCTCCTAACCCCTACTTTCCTCAAATTCTATTAAACAGAAGTCTCTGCTCCTGGAGCTTATTTCCAGCAGCTCAGCCCTGCCTGTGCCTGCGGGTGGCTGCTGTGCCAGTGCTTCTCCTGTCAAACACTTGGGTGGTGTTGTCACATAGGGAGCAAACTAATTTTAGGAAACAGCTCCTTTCAGTTGCTCTGAGAACTTAACTTGCATTTACTGTGACTTAGTGCTCTTAAAGCTACATCAATTATATTTTTGAACCCTTAATTCCGTCTCTGAGCATGTTTACCACCTGGAAGACATGTCACATTTTTAAGGACATTTACCCCCCTTATGTTTTAATGTAGTAAGAGTACTTGTAGTCCCAGTTTTTGTCTCAGTGGTTCCCTGGTGATGAAAAAGGCATCATGCTTCCATTTTCTAAGGGGACGGGTCTCAGTGGGAGCCCATTACTGCTGGGCTTTTCCACATCACCATAGCACAAGACTATTAGTGTTTCCTCACTTGGCACCAGCAGCTGGCATATTTGAACAGCATAAGTGGTTTTGCCATGTATCAGGCAAGCAAAGGTAACCAAAGCTTTTCTTTTAGAGAGATAGAAAAGGTAAAGAGATAGATAAAGGAAACATTAAGTAGGGTATCATGACTGTCCACAAGATAACATGAGTGATTATTGCGTAACTATGGTGAATCTAGATATGTTTTATTAAAGGAAAGGGAGAAACCCATTTTAGCTTTTTTAGATTTCACGTTTCCCAGATATATTTTAGCTTCACTGCTAAAATTTTTGTGGTTTGCTCCTCCCTTTTTGTTTCTAGGTTGTGACTCAAACTCTCACAATATAGGGGAAAAAAATACCATTCCTAGAGAGTTCTTAGCATGACTGACTTTATGAAAGAAACAAAGAATTATGCTGCTTCATGACAGTCATCCCAAATACTCCACTGTGGAATGAAATCTATAGGATGACACTATAACACAGGAAATTTGGGCAGTCTCTTCCAAGCGGATTTCTCAAACTCAGGTTATTTCCTGACTATATTTAACGTGTGTTTTACAGTTACATTCCCAATAACTGCACTGCGTGCTTGTTATACTGATTCAGTTTTAGTGATTAGAATTCTAAATTCAGGAAATAAAATTATTACCATTATTGGCACTTCTGTTAATTAAATGAAATCTCTGGTATTTTCCAAGTTTGCATAAACCTGACTTTGTCCCATTATGAGCTCATTCTCAGATTAAACACAGTTTGTGACACTTTAATGTGTTAACTCTGCTTCATGATATTTTCTACTGGTGTTTAACTTCTTCTTTAATAGACCAGAGACTCTATGTCCACACAAGTCTTTAATAAAAAGTTTCAAATTTTAAAGCACTAATGTGACCTTTACTGAAATCAAAAGTACAGAGAAAATTAGGATAATAATTCAAAAATATCCTTTAAGTGAATTTTCCCCCAATAAGTCAGAATTTATTATCTACAAAATTAATAGTCTCCATCAATGTTCTTACACATTGTTTCAATTATGTTTGAGACAGAAAAAGGAACCTTTTAAATCAGAAATAACATGATTCATATTTTACTGCAGTTAATATGCTGAAATCAGATAATTTCAGGTAAAGCTGAAAAATAATACCATAAAGTTAAAAAAATATCATAAACGACATAAATGACATAAAAAACTTCCTGCAGTGGAAAGACTATTTTCTATTGTCCATTCATGGTTACTGGTAAAGAACAGTTTGGTGATTTACTGAAGAAAAAGATAAAGATATGACAGATTTATGCAAAAAACTATCAAGCATGAAGCTCCTGGTTTTACTTCTGACAGAAATCTTCAACATTTTACAAATAAGAAAAATGCCTTTTGGCATTTGTCCCCTGTGCTGAAGCGCAACAACATGAAGCCAGTGTGTGTTGAATCCAATGACAGGTTCTCTATTGACATCAGGGAAAGAGGATGAAAAAAGTATCACTGTGGGTTTTGTTTTCAGCTGCCTCCACTCTTCACCCAAGATAGCACACGAATGTGAGGCCATAACAGAACAATAGTATTTTTTCTGTAATTATATAAACCTTATTTGCTGTCAATATTAATAGAATATATTTATTTACCATTTTAGTAGTCTTATTCAATTTTAGAACCTCACCTGATTACAAACGCTGTTAAAGGGCAGCGCACGGCTCAAACACCCTCCACCAATAAGCATCATGTTTGCAGTCCCTTATACTGACAATTAACAAAGGTAACACTGCTGAAACTCGTTCCAGTGCTGTCAGAAACTGAACCAGGGGAAGAGGGATGCGATGCTGTTGATGTGGCCACACAGACATGCAGACCTCTAACTGAACTGGCTTGTCTCAGACCCTTGCAAGCTGATCACCAGCTCACACTGTGCACTAGACACTACCAGGGCTCTTCTATATTCCTCAGTTAAGAGTAGGGAAGTCGATGGCAGCTCAGACTTCCTCAGTACATGTGCCACTCATCTCAGATTTGATCTGGAGATAAGAAGATAGGCAAAAGAAATAATAAGTTGCATTTAATGCTTTTGGAAATGCTTTCTCTGATTAAGTATGTTTTTTTCTTTCTTCTCTTTCCTTTTCACCTCAAGCCTGTTTGAAGAAGCAAATGATTTGCTTTATTGGAAATGCCTCTGAATGTTCATTTTATCATTTTATCTCATTTGGCAATTCTTAATCCTGCCTTTTTCTGCCCTCTCACATAAAACTCCTGACCATATTAGCTGGTATTAGACTAACCTGAACAGAGAGACTTGCAGTTCATGGACAATGCTGGTTTAAAGAAAATGCGTGCAGACACGTTCAATCTAATTTTCTTCCTTTTTAAGTTAACATAACCTTTTCCTAAAGTTCTGAAAGAATTCTGCATTCATTACATATTATCCTACCATAATTTATCTTGTCATCTAATGTAATATCCCTTTTCAAGACAGACATTAGCTGTGATTGGTAGAAAAATGAAGTGGGCTTTGCAACTTTGCAAGTTAGCATTATTAGTGGTATGGAAATAACTAGGGGAACACATTCCCAGGGGTATTATCTGTTCCAGTCATAACTTCAGGGGACAAGACAGACCTACCGCTTGATATCAGTTGTAAAATTTCCTTTAGCCACAGAATAGACTGAGATTGCAGAGTGGCACCACATGGAGCAACTTGTGAAAGGAGCAGTGTGGGAACTGCAGAAGCCTGTCCCTCTGAGGCCTGCCCAAGGAGCAGCACTGATCCCCTGCAGGCCCCAGCATCACTCTCCAGGCCAGTAGTGACCAGAGGGAAATGTCTCTGCACGGTTGAGTCTGGGGCTCTGGAACTGTTCCTGCTCTTCTTGACTCCCTACATCCCAGTCTTACATATTGATGCAGACCAGCAGAGATTTTTTCCAGTTATCAACCTGTCTCTATGTTTAACGTGTTTCACAAGTAGCTGGATAATTAATCCAGGGTGATACAGACCACAAGGTTAATATCAGCTATTTAAGTTCTGCTATTTATTGCCACTTCCATATGTAGTTGAGCTACATACAGTGAAGCAGTACAATACTCCTGAATGATCATTATTAACACTTTAGCATGACAGTACTATATGTACACATGTGGTTTCCAATTACTTCATTCAAAGAAATCAATAATGTTGGTGTAGATTAGCTCCTGCACTAATTGTACTGCAGAAATACAAATAGACACAGCAACAGCCACCTGAATTAGTTGCTGACTCAGTGCCCCAACTGAAAAGGATTCCTTTCTGTAATCTCTTCTCTTGCTCTGCTCTTCACCTTTCTTGTCTCTCACTTTTCCATAAAAAAAAAAAAAATATCTGGGAATTAAGAATGGTCACTTAGCAGTGAGGTTCTTGGCTTAGAATAGATGGGCAATGTGTGTTACCACCCTAAGCACAACAAAAAGTTATGCCCCCAAATCCTCTTTTATTCAGGCTAGTTTCCGAAGTTAGGAATATTTAGATTCTTGTTCTATCTATTCTCTCTGAGAATACTTGACTTCACCTTTAAACTGCATTCAACCTTGCCTTTTTGATAGTCCCACAATAATGTTATTCTGAATTTTTACTTTCATTGTAAAATGACATTTCCCAGTGTATCAGATTTTAAGATGCATTTAAAAACTCTTTATCCAATAGCAAGTAAAACACAGAAATAAGTTTAGTGCCACATTTTCTATGGAAATGTCCTAAGAAAAATATGTATATGAATATATAAGTAAATCATCATCTCAGCAGAATTCTTATTCTTTCATACTTAAGGCGATATTTTCTTTTTCCTGTCAGGCCCTGCAAATGTTCCCTGAGTCATGTGGTTACAAAAATGTAAAATTACTCTCCTAAAAAGAACACTTTGCAATTCATCACTAGGGCTAAACCAGCTGCAGCTGTGAACAAGCGTTATATTACAGACAAATCTTTTATTTAGTTTGTGCCTTTAGCTCTGGAGACTTGGAACATTCAGGATTCCAAAGTCACTCACTGAATTTTCACTAGATAGTTTAATTTTGATTATATTTGACAGAAGGAACTTTAACCCACACAATATGTAAAAAATCTTTCATTTTAACAGGGGTTTTTACTCATGTCTTTATTGTCACAGTCATTGTATTGAATGGAACAGAATCCAGCATATCAGGGATGAGTTGTTATTGGTATTTAGGTGCCTTAGGCTTACTATCTGTTCAAATATTATGAAGAAATTAACTGATAAAGAAGATTTATGACTTTCTGAGAATGTTCACAGACTGTTTACATCTAGCGTTAAGAACTCAGCATAGGAATAAACTCTTCTAAGCTTGAAGCTTCAAATTAATTCCTCTGTTTGTCGCAATGATATCCAATACCTTTAGGTGGCCACCCAGCAAAGTGTTAAAGCACGTGCTGAACTTCACACATGCACTTTTCTGAAAAGAAAATTTCAAGTAGGGGAAAAAAAGACATGCACTTTAATGAATATGATCCATAATAGTTACTCACCATTGTCAATTGCCAGAAAGAGAGCTGTGTATGTGTCATTTTGAACATAGACAGATTCCCGATCCAGAGCAGCAGTGGTAATAATGGTACCATTGGTAGGACTGATTTCCAGCCATCCTGCTGGATCCTTGTAAATTGAATACCTAAATGAAAACATAGAAGTTGTTAACAGATTACATATCTAGATATAAAAGCATTACATTACTACAGAGAATACGTCTTTGTACTCACTGGCTTTCACGGGGTTGATACTTAAAAAACACACTTTAAAACCTGTGTCTTCCCTTTGAGGTGGTTCAGTATTGTTAACCTGATCTGACAGATGGAGACACAAAGTGGTTTGAGTCAATTTCTTTGGATACATATATTCCCCAAAAGCTTAGCTTAGAAATCAATATTCAAAATATTTTGTAGGATATGTTTCCTACTTCTGTGTTATACACCTGAGTACCTGAACACTTGCCTTGGCCTTGTCATCAACACTGGTATTTACAGTTTTCATGAATACTCTCCCAGTTCTCCTTTTTCCAGACTCAAAATTGTGGCTGGACTAGGAGCAATAGTTGTATGAGTGTTTTTCTCTTTTTTTTGTTTCTTTTCTTTTTTTTTATTTGTTGTTTTGTATGAGGCTAGAAATGTAATAATTTGTGAGGTATGGTAACAGAAAGAGTGTTAGATTAGGGATTCACCAGGTATAACACAAACTGATTATATGCAGACCTAGCTTCTGTACATGTGTTCTGCAGTCTGTGATCTGTAATTTCCTGCTGCTACTGATTCAAAGAGATGCTCAGAATCTTGGAATAATTCAATCACATATATGTTGTCTAAATAAGGATTTGAAAATGCTGTCAAGATCCCTCACAAATGTTGTGTTTTCTTTGCATTAATCAGTACAAATATTTAGACCATGTTACTGGAAACACTTAGAGAGATTGTAGAGTTTATGCACTGAGAACTGACCTGCTTGACTGAAGTAACAAACATAAGAATATTCATTATTAGGGCCTAATTCTATTACCAGTTAAATATATTAAGTATTATAACAACACAGAACTGAATTAACTGGCACAAATTCCCTCTCCAATGAAAAGTGTATTTAAAACCAAAGCTCCAAACATATAATCAATACTTAGTATGACAATCTGTTTATCTTTTTTGTAGTGAACTGTTATAGGTCATAAACATCCATGCAATCTTCTATAGCCATTTTAAATTGTAAGTAATTGATATGAAACCCGTTATTATTTAATAAGTATGTGTCTAGCCTGTTAGTGGCATTCATCTGAAAGGTGTCCCATGAGATAATGCTGCCAAAAATAATTTGTCAGTGAAACTGTTTCCTCAGGGGATAATCACAAATAACAGATTGTTAGGGGGCTAAAACAAAGTAAGTAAAATGAAATAAGATCGCAGTTGCTAGAATAGGAAAGAATAAATTGCAACCAACAAAGACAGACATGGTCTCACTGAATGCTTATCACAGAGGCTTGTGTTGGTCTCTTGTGCTACTGGAAAGAGGTAAAATGAGTTGTGATTCATTGCTAGATCCCTCTAGTAGACTGCTAAGGTATGGCCAATGCCATAGCTAACAACAAAGGACAATGTGCAGCTGTCCCATCCAGCTGCCTCTTATCCGCAGTCCTCACGCCAGACCTCTCAGTCCCATCTAACTTGTGCTTTTGAACTGCCCAGTTATTTTGATCAGATGGAGTTTGAGAACTTTGAATTTCTGCAGGGGTCTCAGAAGAGCTGGGCAGAGCCACAGCTCCAGCCTGTCAGAAGCCATTAGCACCATTCATTATTCATGCAGCAGACTTTCCTGTGCACGAGCAGTAGGACTGATCATTTGGCTGAAGGTAAAAGATCACAAAAAGTAAATGACTTAGTGCGTGGCTCGAGCTTAAATTTTGTCATTAAGATGACACTGTTAGAGACCACTGAATGAACTGAATGGATCTCATCTGCCCCGCATACCACGAGACTCCCTTCCAACATCTGAAATAATGCCATGGGAAGATGTCATTAAGATGAGGTTTTTTTTCCGCCTATGTAAGTTAGGAGAGGTGAGAATGGACTTAGAGCCTTTGAATAATAAATTTTAGGCTTGGACACCGTACTATTCCGCAGGAAGAAAACACAATTGCTAAAAAGGGAAAAGTTCTGGGCAAACTGGTTTCCTCATGCATAAATGAGGCAGTGCACGTACAAATATATGCAGAAATACAGGCCAGAAACATTGCCATCTTGTTCCCAGACCACAGATCAGGTACCCACCATAACTGCATTAGGCAAGGCAGAGGAAGCCTTGAATTTATTTGTGCCTTAAAAAGAACAGGGCTCCAGAACCCCTGTGAATTTGCCAAATGGCCCACAGGTCCATTTAAATAAACTATTCCACAGATTGACATTATACTTCAAAGGCTGTTGAGGTACTCTCATTTAAGAAGAATGATAGTCCAAAGAAAAGGTTCTAAGTTCTGTCATTGAAAAATGAAATTCCTTTTAGCACAAAGCCTCCTTTTAACACATCAGAGTCACTTCTCACCAAAAAATCATCAGTTTCCTCAACAGTTCTTTGGTGCTTCTCCAGGGTAAGTGATATTATCCTCCAAAAGATGAACATGGCTAATTTCAGAGGTGCTAACAGACAGCCCTGTCCACACAACTGCTGTTTTTTTAATCAAGACCTTGCTTCAGCCTTGAAAAACGTGACCTCTTCAGGGCTGCTGAACCAAATTCTCTTTGCCAGGGTATGTAAGACCACACTGGTGTTCAGGCAGCCTGCTTCAGGACCAAAAATTTGTTCTTATGAGCTGTTATTATGTTAAAATAAAATACAGGACAAGTTTGGAACCCAGAACCTTTTGGAACTTATGAGAAACAGAGACAAATACTAAAACCACTTGGGTTGCTCGTGCTTCCACTAAAGTCATTCAGAGTTTCATCACTGGCTTCCCCAGGAGCAGAAATTATCCCTTAGAGAGTATGTGGAAAAGAATCAAAGCAAACACTATTCCACAGTGAGACATTCTACAACATAACATGTTCTTCCACTTAATAACCATTTCAACATTAATCAATACCTGAACTTTATCTCCCATAAAAATGAGTTGCTAGAATAGTAACAATGCAGATCATTATTTCATTTCATTTCATTTCATTTCATTTCACTTCACTTCTTTGTTTCTTTTTTATTGTTGTTTTTACAACTCCACAACGAAGGTATGCACAAAAATATGAAACAAGGGCAGCCTGAACAATTCCTCATCTATTGTAAAACTGCAAATTCTCAATTAACCCTGAAACAATTTAAGAAGATTCAACACTTCTAAAGTAATGAGAATTTAAAATAGATTGTATTATCTTCCCTGATTGCTCTACAAAGCACTGTTGGCTGTGCAAATAAAAAACTGAATTGTATAACCTGTGATTTGGCACAGGATATTGTAAAAGTAGTACTTTGTCTTTCCCACCACATTTTTTACTTATTGTAAGAGTTTATTGCAGTACGGTAAAGATGATTGTTCCTTGTGCATTTTTTTGAGGGCTCTGCTCACAAAGGGTTTAGAATAGACTCATTAAGAAAAGCACTATAATAAACAGAATTATAGAATACAAAGAAGTTTCACTTCCTATTTCTAACTTTAGTGGGATGTGCTGATTGCACAGCAGTTTTGAAAATCAGACCATTTTTGTAGGTGGTTAAACTAGAACTTACACACCTGCGTGTCGCTATGCAGTTTTGAAAATCGTCATAAGTACACCAATACCTCTGTATGGGTGTATACAGAACTGTGTTCTCTGGTGTGCCAACTACTGTTTAGTTTCGACATATTCTATATAGCAGTAGTGAAATTTTGTGCTCCTTTGTGGAGTTTTTTCTTTTCTTTTTTTTTTTTTAAATTTCAAACCATGCCAATAACTTACTGATCCCAAGGGATTATACGACAACAAGACATGGGCAAGTGCATTTAACTTATTGATCGTGACCTCCTTGCACTAGGTTCATGACCTTGTACTATCTATAAGGCAGGTTTTGCAAAGGAAGCAGAAAACAACCAACTTCCTTAGACTGGAAATCATCTGCTGTAAGGTGGAAGTGTATGACTTAAATACAGACCCACAGATGGAGGGACTGTAGATATAGACAAGATGCGCAAATCAAAATATGCACTTGGACTATTTGATGAAGAACTCAAGTAGCAAATACATGGAAATAATTCAAAATTTATAAATGGCATCTTCCCCTTCCTGTAGCATAGGAAAATTATTCTGAGAACACTTCCTGGGGTTGGTAGCAGACATGTGTGGTGCCAGTGGCCAGCAGCTTGATTAGCACAGAAGATCCTTACACAGAGCAGTGGTTATAATGTGGATGCAAAAATCTAATCAGAGCCACAACCTTGCACTAGCCACAAAAGGGATTTCACAGCCAACAGCGCAATATCACAGGGTGCCAGAGACCAGCTGGACATTCAGGCACAGGGTAAGATGCTGCTTTTGGCAAGCACTTCCTGAGCTTGGGAGGTGCCAGACTTTTCCCATGTGGAGTTAAGCGGTCTTGGCCATTATGCTTTAACAGAAAGAGAAGGAAGGAAAAATGAAGCAGTGCCAAATCTGTGCTGAATCATACATCTGCACCACTGTGATGTGTGGCATTGATGGGGTAAAGGTGAGCAATTTAGATAGGCTTGGCAGGGTTTTCAGCCTTGCACATCTGGAGACTGATCAAGTAATGTTGTGCAGAGACTGCCAATGGCTAGAAAGCCACAATGAAGAGGTACAGTGACACTGGCCCCATGAATATATGTCTGATTCTGCAGTTGGGCTTTGCTCTGATGTGGTGAGGATGTATTTCTACCCTGAAAAGCTGTTTAAAGTGGAAAATCTGTAAATCATTGTGAAAGGACTGAGAATGCATAGCGATGAGGGCCAGAAAGTGTACCCAGATAGAACAGAAAATAATAATTTGAATAACTTTCTAAAGATGCAGAAAGGTATTTACTGGCATTTTCAAATTGTATAGTTGCTCATCTCCTTGTTTTAAATTATGTGTAAAATAGAGTTAGACCCAGATGAGTAAAAATTCATATTT